GCCACTCAGTGGGCCTGGGTTCAAATCCCAATCGATCCTTGATACTTTCATTTTTCTTGTATACCGCGCATTTATTTCCTTAACGTCTACGAATCGGACGCGCAAAGAGCTTCGCTCTAAAGCAGACCTCGACATCTGCAGTCGTCATCGGCAAGCTTAACTGTCCGCAGCGTGATAGCTGAAGCAGTTCGGTTGTCGCACAGCTTTGGGTTGTGTTACCCATGCATGCCGCCATACTATTCATGTATACCGAGGCTCTGACCAAGGTATTCGCGGCTATAGAATCAGTCAACGCAGTCCAGGTCGCGTCGGGCCGTTCGTGTTAGGCTTGCAGACCACTGTACAACAGGGAGATTCCTGCAGGAACTCTTGCTGCGCCATGTCATTGCGACGGTGCTTCTGTAGTTTGCTAAATCGAGTCGCAACTTCATTTTGCGCGAAGCCTCTCGGAATCCCAGATTTTGGTCGCGGCCGTGACGTAGTTTGTGAAAAACCTGGTGCCGGCGAATATAAATCTGGGTTCACCTACAAAAATAGGCCGCTCTCAGTTGCTCTGGCCAGGCGCGCGTTTGTATGCGTCATTTTCCGATGACCGATGCTCTCTCGATCGTCGGCCTGTCGGCTATGAGCCGATCGTAATATGAAAATCCATCTTTTATCCGAGTCGCCTGTTCATGCAGGTTACCACGTTTTTTTTTTTTTTGTAGCATTTCATGGTTTCGTGCGAGCCTGTCGCTACTTGTAGCCACAGAAATGTTACGCTGCTGCTGCTGCTGCTAATAATAATAATAATAATAATAATAATAATAATAAGGAATAATAATAGTCTTAATTATTATTTGTTCAAAAATGCTATTTGAATGCAGAAGACAATGAAAACTTGTTCAGTTGTCAGTAAAATAGTATTTTTTATTATTAGTACAACTGCCGCCGCGATCCAGACGGAGCTATCAACGCGTCTACTTTTCGTCCCCATTGGCTCTATGGCAAGTCACGCCACTGGCTCTGGCTCACATAACCAAGATGGCGTCATCGAGTGCTACGGCGCCTACTAGATGGCGCTGCTAATTTCATGAGGTCGATTACAGCGATATTAGCGAAGCTAATATTTTGAAACAGTACTTGATCTGTCTATTTAATTACTTGTACCTCTTGAGTGACAAAATATCAGAGGTCCCCATTTTGATAAGTGATAAATGGTGTTATAATTAAAGAACTAAGCGGTGTGATGTGGACAACTACATAATGAGGTAAAGGATAAATGGCTATAAATAATTTAGCAATATTTGCTGGCAATAGGCTTAAAGACATTACACTAGCTTTCTCTTTTACTCAGAGAGGTGAGTGAGTGAGTTATATCGCCATGGCAGCGGCACCTTTCATTCGGTCGGAGTGACGACGTCCGTGGCAAGGCATTGTGTTGTGCGACGGAGGAATGGCGCATCCGGTCTCAGGTGTAGACGGTCTCGGGTGTATACGGTGCCGACCATCATAAAAAAGAAACAAAAAGAGAAAAAGAACCTGCACCGGAGGCGAGATATTCAATGCCCGGTAGGCGGCCCATTGCGCGACAGCACGACGCAACAGAGCCGCAAAGAGGAAGGTGTACAGACAGAAATATTAGACGGAACCGGCGCGTCGATGTCTCGCCAAGCATAAAGGAGGCGCCACGCGGGTTTCACATCCGCCGATGTTCTGGGAAACCGACAAAAGTGGCGCCACACGCGAAAACCGACACGAAGACAACGTGCGAGGCGAGCGACAGGAAAGAACCAGAGCTGCGCATGACGTCGAGTAGAAATACCACGGTCACGCGGTAATTCCATCTCGTACTTCCTTTGGAACACAAAAAAAAATGAACAGATAAAAAAAATATTCCAGGCAAGCAAAAGCTCGTAGACCGCATCGTGTACAGTCGTAAGAATCACACTTGTTGGCCTCTATACAGAGTGGTCGATCGGGCGAGTTCTTCGCCGTTTCTCGCCCTAAATTAGAACAATTAAGTCCTGGTCAACGCCTGGATGAGACTACGCATGCTTACGCCACATGCTGTAGCTACACGCTTATCTGCTACATGGCAAACATATGTGGAGCCTATAGCCACTGCCGCGAGGTGGCAGCTGCGCATTATGCAGACCGCAGCCGGCCACTCGATCACTCAAGATGCCACAAAGATAGTACGCAGTAGGAGCGAATTTCATTTGCGTGACGGTTGTTTTTCTGCAAGAGCAGTTAAGAGCTCAAATTCTGTCTGTCCTTTTCATTACTTGTCAAGCCGTCGTCCACCCGTCGCGGTTCCCTCATGACATATTCGCTCATCCTTTAGCTCGCCTTAAGAGACACTAAGACACATTCAACTGTTTCCTCATCAACACAGTTGTCAAATACAGCATCGTCCTGAAGCGGCAAGCACACGTGTTTGTGAAAGAAATCCCATGTCCTAGACGGCAGAGGACACTTGTCCCTATTTGGGATAGTCAAGATGGAATGCGTAGTGAAAGGCAAGGGGCAATGGAAGAATACAGGTGTACAGAAAACCGGGTGTGCATAGATCTTGTGACATCCCACACGAGCGAGCGAATCTTTTATGCTGCGAGAGCTATTGACAGTGGGCCCCGCCGCGGTGATCTGCTAAGGTACTCGGCTGCTGACCCGCAGGTCGCGGGCGGGATCGCTTCCCGGCTGCGGCGGCTGCATTTCCGATGGAGGCGGAAATGTTGTAGGCCCGTGTGCTCATATTTGGGTGCACGTTAAAGAACCCCAGGTGGTCGAAATTTCCTGAGTCCTCCACTACGGCGTTTCTCATAATCCTATGCTGGTTTTGGGACCTTAAACCCCACATATCATCATCTATTGACAGTGGAATTCGGTCCTGCCCGCCCCATTCGTGATTACCAATATCGAAAAGCCAAAAAGTGATATGCACATCAGAAACCAACGAATGTGCTACTGAGGGCTGTTTAACTTAACCACCTTATGCGCTCTCTAGCTCGTGTTATATGTGTGTGTGTTTACCAATGAGCCTGCCCCGCCGCGGTGGTCTAGTGGCTAAGTTACTCAAGGCTGCTGACCCGCAGGTCACGGGATCGCATCCCGGCGGCGGCGGCTGCATTTCCGATGGAGGCGGAAACGTTGTAGGCCCGTGTGCTCAGATTTGGGTGCACGTTAAAGAACCCCAGGGGGTCAAAATTTCCGGAGCCCTCCACTAGGAAAGTGTCACAACAGCGTAAATATCGTCTATTTAGCCCGACCACTACATAGCGAAAAGGAGGTCGCCGAATGGGTAAAAATGTAAACTTTCTCAGCTTTTGCGACAACGAATCTGGTTGATAGCAGCATTTTCGTCATCTACTGTTACGTCAACTTTTAAAGCCTATATACTCTTCGCGAAAGCCCAAGTGCATTTTTTTTTAATCGTTAAAACGTGCACTATTTCGCCACGTTTAGTCATGGCCAAAAATCATGAAGGTTCAAAGGAAATTGAATATACCATCGCAGTCATCGGGAGGACAGGCGCCTTCAGATTAGGAAAAAGAAGGTGTTGCAATGATGGCTGTAAATGGCTGTTTTCTGCGGGACATTGTTTTTGCGTGACACGTGTATACTTGCTTCCATGCGCAAAGTTCAATACGCCTTCTAAGCGGCAGAAAATTTTTCCTTGTAAGATACTGCCCCAATAACTACTTGTCGCATTCGTGCATAATACAGCACGAATTTTTTAGAGGGACATTTATAATAATTAAAGAAAAATAGTCAAAAAAATTTTCCCGTACGCGCCACCACGGATTCAAACCACCCACCATTCGCTCCGCGTAGACAATTGAGCCGTAAGTGGGTACATCCTCTCGCACACAAAACGCGAGCTATTTACCGGTACGCTTTAACAAAACACGCATCTTTGTGCTGCTTCAGCGTTCAACAACTACACGCGTTAGGCATGGCTTGTCAGTTGTGTCATAGAGAAGGGGAACCGGAGGTATTGAAGCGCGAACTGCTTCTCTCTTCGCACACACTGTTTTGTGGCGTTGAATGTGATAGACTGACAGGAGGTGGGCCGCCGCTTGCGTTACGTTAGATGCAAACCATCTTACGCCTAAAGTGGCCCTTCGTCATGACCTTTCTTGACACGTGGCGCGTATAGGGTCTGGCCCACCGCCACACACCAGCTGACGTAGCAAGCTCATGTTCACCACTACTAAACCTCTGAGCCGTATATACTTCGTACGTCGTCCGTATGCATACTCGCTTCTATCTCAATGCTTCGCCTTTGCGGCGAAACCGCAACTTTTCTTTGGCAATATTTTGCATCACACTTTGCACTGCAATAAGGACAAACCCAATGATATTTTCCCTTCTCTTTTTTTTCCTCACATTCTTTTATTTACTTATTTATTTATGTATTTATTTATTTATTTATTTATTTATTTATAACTTTCAACGCGTAAATAGCCTGCATTTGTGCGAGATCTAAAAAGCTTAAATTCGCTTTTAGTTTGTTGACACAGCATTTGAAATGTGAAACGACAAACGAAAACGAAGACAATGTGGTATAAACTGCGAAATTAGAAAATTATTTTAAATTTGTCATAAGCTTGCCAAATGATGCCAGTGAACATAATGTCTCCTACTTGACAGCAACTGAAAAAAAGAATTTTCTAGCAAGTGTTTGGAGCAGTCGCAGGTGCCCACAGAATAGCTTTCAGCAGCCAGAGCACGCTTGAACGGGGAAAAAAGGAAAAGAGGAGAACAACGCTGCAGAGCGGGCCCGGCGGCGGCACGCGTCGGGGAGCGGGGTGACATATGGAGGCCGCCGGCGCAAGGTGGCCACAAAAGCCGGGGCCGTCGTTACTCCCCGCAATCCCGCTAACGAACGGTGTAATGGGGAGGACGCGCTGGTTCCCCCCGGCGGGCGCTTTAATGAGCGCACACACGTGCCGGGAGCCATATGGCCTTTGTGATTGGGGATGCTCCTCTCGCGGCGACAGATGGTGGACACTCACCTGTCGATGATGACCGGGTCCGAAGGCGTCTCGTTGCGGTTTCCGCAGCTCTTCTTGTCGCAGCAGCGACTGCGCCAGGAGAGAAAAAAAAGGGCCAAGATGCGCGAGTGCACGTTCTCGCACGCGCTGCGCCGCAGCACTCACCTGCACATCACCTCGTGCGTCAGCAGCACCCGGCACATCTCGGGGTTCTTGTCCTGTCCCTCGTACACGATGGCCTGCGGCGAGGCGCGCCCATCTGTTACGCAAACGCACAACACGGGGCACAAACACGGGGGGGGGGAGGCCACTCGAGTCTAGCAGATGGGACTCCATCTGTCGGGGATCCCACCTCCGGGGCTTATCTCATTCGCTTGATGCACTCGAGGATTGTCTTTTTTTCGGTCGGCACCCACCCTGACCTCCCGGGGCTCTCTCCCCGGCGCGTGGCCGCATATCTGATGACCGCTCGGGTAACGAGACCGCCGCGCACTGACGCTGCGCAACTTGTTCTTTCCGGCCTCATTAAGAATTCGGCTGAGCGGAGCCTAGAGTATAACGTTCTGACAAACACTTTACACTGCCAGTGTACACACGTCTCCACCTCAGAAGTGCGCACAGGCCGCGCTCTTCGCAAAAAATATATATATATATATATATTTTTCTATTTTTTTTAAATACGCGCATTCTGCAGGTGTCATCTCTGCTCGTCAACAAAATCACCACTCGTGCAAGTATCTTAATTGCAGACTACTTTGTATCGTGGTGAGATCAATGGCGGCAGTGAAATGAACCATCTCCAACTCACGCTCAATTCTCGTCCAACAAAACAATCATCTCTACTCCCAAACGAACACTCGTATCGGGCATCAACTTTTCTTTTCGAGCGCATGTACACAACCCTATTTTTTTTTCTGAATACTTCACGGTCAACTATAAAACCAAAGTGAATTGGCACCTTGGAAAACTGGGGCCCTGTTTTGACCTAATGATCAATAAAAACCAGGTCGTGTTTTGCATAGAGTATAGTGGCACATTTGCACTCCCCGTTTAGTCACCCACTGTCGCAACAATATACCTTTTCTTTTTCTACGTATGTTAGGTCAGAAGCGTCAATTGCAATAGCCGCATGAGCAGTCTTTTTTTCCTATTTATTAACATCTCATGGAAACATTGTCGTTTCTTGCTGCTGTTCAAAATCGCATGACCTCGTTCATTAGCTGAAGTGTTTTTTTTTTCTGTTGTATTTGCTATCTCTCCTCTGAATTTTCGTTCGTAATCATTGCGCCTTGGTGCAGGGGTGCCGGAATAAGTTTTTTTGAGATGTGGGGAGCACCTATTTGAAATGGGCATATTTTGCTCTGTATACCATGAAAAAAAAGGGGGGGAATGGGGCACGGGCCCAGTATGGCAGCTTCTGGCTATGCCGCTGCCTTGCTGTTAATAGAACAGTTCCAACGGTTCGTATTATCATGTATTGGTTTAAGCAACTACAAAATGGAAGGCCCCAAAAGCGTGCCATAGAATGAATATGTATATGACACATGTGGATAAATTGAGAGAAAATATATTGGCACGACATGACAGAAATTTGTGTTGCCTAGCAGAAGGATATCCTCGTGCCCTTCCCGTGGCATTCAGAAATCTTCGTCTGTTCCATCCCTCGCCTTGGCTGTGAGCCAATGCTTTCACGCTTCAGTCTGTATAGTGTAGCCGGCGAGAGTGCCTATTGACGATGCGTTGCGCAGCGGCAAATAAAATGATCCGCTGTTCTCTTGAATGCGCGGCAAAGTGCAGCGCCCTCACTTGCAGCGGTGGCGTCGCTTTCGCGGCGCAATAACGCTGGCGCGAAGAAAACGTCCACAACCGGCGTACAAGTTTTTCAACTTAGGCCTGAGCACCCCATCGGCACGGCCCCCCTCTTCACAGTCCTCTCGGCTCGCCCCATTCTCTATAGGCTCGAATTTGTTTGCGTCGGGCCACATTCGACTACAGCCGTGCTCTGATCAGGCGCGATTTGCATATTTGTAGGCATGCCTTTGTCTTTCTCTGTCAATCTTGTCGCCATTTCCTGTACTCACTCTGTTGAGCTGTCTGTCACCATCGTAGGGAGGGAGGCAATGTACTACGCTCGCTATAGAAACAGCACATGCTCCCGATTTCACGGAGCATGAAATCGGAAGTCGTTGTGGCCTTTCTTTCAAAGAGTATAGCAGAACTATCACTTGATCATATTGTATCATTTCTGATATTCTTGACGACACATTTGAAGAAATGCTCTTGCTAGAGAAAATGTTTAACAAGTTAGCTCTTCACCTACCTATCTGAATAGCCACATGTGTCCTGTATTTTACAGCTCTATTTCACCGTAATATATACATGGGTGTAATACATATATGACCAGTTATGTAGGGCGCTTCTTCAATGTGTACTGAGACAAATTTTTGAAGGTTAGTTCACTCTGCCGTACAAATTGCCTATTGGCCGCTCTGAGGAAGGGGGAAGCTCAGCAAATGCTTGTAACATATTTTATATCAAGATGAAAGTCGATTTCCCCATGACCCACCACCGACATTGACTCTATAGCTTGACGTCAGAATGCACTACTAATTCTGGTGACTTATATGAGCAGTCTGGCTAGTTCTGATTAGGTCAAATACAAAAAATTTCTAAAATGGCCGCTTGTGCGTCATTTCTGCCTACGCTACTGACCAGGGTACAGTAGGAACCGACATGAGCTCTCAGAGTACACAGAAAATTACTTTTTTTTCAGGGTGCACTCACTGTTAACAGTACATTTTCTAAGCTCTTGATGCTTGGCCTTTTCTTTGACGAAAAAAAAAACATCTCGAAATTTCCTTGTTCCTTTGGCATCATTCTATGAACGGGGAAGTTTTTACTCGTCTGATTATATTTATGTTGATATGTGCATTTTCCGCGGTCGTGTTTAGTTTCCAGGATAAGGTCAACACTATACTATGTAGGAAGGCGCCTCTTTCCGGCCGTCGTTTTCGTTGAACTGGAATACCAGCTTGCCCATTACCAAATGCTTCGTGATCGTCTTCATCAGTTACAAAAATTACTCGGCGAAAAAGACGCGCCTTGCGTATTGGGACCTTCTGGAATGTCATAGCGAATAAATGTATAATCTGCATGCTTGCTCGAAGCAAACAATGGCCTGTACATTCACCAGCGATTGATGAGTCACGCATAGCCAATGATTTGGCCTCTGCACACTCGCCGTTTCGCTTTGAGCGTTACTTGTATTGCTGCAACTATCCCAGCGAAAAGGTGCAACTGTGCATGACATGCAGCCTTGGCTCTGTACCAGTCACTGCAACAACGTTTTACTATTAGTCTTACCGAGTATATGTAAGTGGGCATGAGAGAAGAAAAGGAAAAACTTGAAATTCTTCGTCGACATACAGGCAGGTTGCACTGTCACAATTGGACGCGGATAACAGCTATGTATTCGACTGCAGAAATGCTGGCTGCTGCGTGTAGCGAAATAAGTCTCTTCTCTGTAGCTTTCCAGAAGGTTCGGCTTTTGGACGCGCAGGGGAAAGACGGAGCCTATATATACGACTGGGTGCACCACAGCCTCTGTTCTAGCATCGGGTGCTTAGTCGAGCGCCTGTGCATCGATTGCTGCGTGTCCTCCCGGCGTAGCGTGCAGAAGGACCGTTGCGGGTGGTGGGCGGGAGCGCCTTAGGCCTAGCAGCTCCGTCCCCTGGGAGACCGCCTCCCATAGATTGGCCACCGGTGGCCTCCCCTCCCTCCGGCGGCCGGACGGACCCCAAATTGAGTTGGCGGGCGCGAGCTTCTGCGCTGATGGCGCCTGCCTCGCGATGGGCCCTCCGCGTGACAACTTTTTGGCCGCCAAGCTGCGTCTCGAAAAAAAGAAGGAAAAACTTCAATGCGAGGCCGATTCTTTTCGTCGGGTTTCGTTGGGGCGAAACGAGAGTGCCCGAGGTTCATGGCCAAGTCTCTCGTGCAACGCTTTCTGCGATCCTTGAACAAAGACGCGCTCTTCGTACAACGTGTTCATCATCGTACCACCAAAGTCTCATCTTGTACAATTGAGCACTAAATTGGCCCTAAAATATATAGATATAAAAGATACAGCAACGCTCTTTTCTGTCTGCGCAGATTTTCCAGGAGCAGCAGCAACTTCCCCGCTCGTGCCGCGGTCGTCAAGGGGCACACATACATGTTTCATAGGCAGTTTGGGATCCGGGCAGATTAGTGTCACTTTGTGCTTCATATACGGTGAAAAACAGACGGGTCCACCCTGCCATGGTGGTCTAATGACTAAGGCACTCGGCTGTGCTGACTCGCAGGTCACGGGATCTAGTTCCGGCGGCGGCGGCTGCATTTTCGATGAAGGCGAAAATGCTATAGACCCATGTGCTCAGATTTGGGCGCACGTTAAAGAACGCGAGATGGTCGAAATTTCCAAAGCCCTCCACTATACGGCTGCTTTCATAACCATATGGTGGTTTTAGAACGCTGAACTCCTCATATCAATGAATCAAACAGACGGGCCCGATGTGCCACCACATGGTTACACCGCTGCGCACGTATACATGACTGTCGACTGTGCAGCATATACAAATGGGCTCTGCTCAGGTACGGTGAAGAATCTTCGATGCCGTCAATGTGGTCTCGTGACAGGTGTAAAGCCCTGGCCTATAAGCGCCAACACTCTTGTCCCAGAGAAAAAAAAAGCTACAAATCATCCTTGCGGTGTCCCCGAGAAAGGATTCCCTGTTCAATGACGTCATACGGTAGCCACAATTGTTTAACGGCTGTCATGAAAATTAAATAATTTGCTACATAACGTCCATTTGGCCATGCCTCTTGCTCACGGTCATGAGCCAGTGTTCGAGCTCGAAGCGCGGCTGCATTCTGCTTTGAGGCACAGCGGAGTGCGGCCGAACTTGGATAACTCACATTATTTGTGTACGACTGGACGAATTGCGCTAGACGTGAAGGTTGGCAATGTCTCTACATCCATACGCAAAGGACAGAATCTGGAGCATATGGCAAGCACGAAGGCTGCAGCAGATCGTGAATTAAGAAAACAAGGTATTTCACCAAACCTTATAGTATCTGTAACGTTATCCCGTATAGCCAAACAATCCCCAGAAGGAGCACGTATCTGGCCCGTCGCATGTGTGCCACGTAACGTACAGGGTGCGTGAGATGGCATTACATCGGCGGCTTCTTGTGATTTATGTTAAAGGTGACAGCAAATGTGCGTAATGCGATAATCTGCGTTTCGCAAAAATTACACTTACAGAAAGTACCGTCTTCTGCGTAGGAAAATAAAAGGAGCGAGTAATAATGTCGAGCCGCAAGTCATGAAGTATTTTTAAACGTGTCGCAAAAATTTTTGTTGCAGACAAAAAGGTGCAGACAAATTCGCCGAACTGCAATACTGAGACATCCACTCGGCAGTTTGCATCTCGCCATCGCGTATAGTGACCTCAACAGAAAAATCTATAGATTAAGCGTTCATTTTATTGAGCAGCCGAAGAAGCGACCCGGCATCGGAAAGAGCGAGGCGACGCCATCAAAAGAAAAGCCAATCAGGGCCGGAGAAAAGCGAGCGGATGAGCCCCGTTGATCGGTGGCCGGCTTAGAGGCGAGCGCCCGGCAGCAAAAGCGGCGACATCAACTCACTTGCTTGGTGACAGAATCGATGAGCCGCACGTAGAGGTCTTGCTCCTGCCGGACACCTGCGCCAGCAACAGACGGGATCGCTCAGCGCCAAATCGCTTCCGCGCCACTCTGTGCGCGCCGGCGTTTGATAACAACGCCCCTCCGGCGTTAGCAGTGGTTTCTTTATTGCTCGCCTATATCGCTAGACTCGCATGAAACAATATATACTTTCACCGAGTGACAATATTTGCATACGGCCAATCCCATGCACCACTGTGAGACGATACGTTTATTTTTCGAGCACTGCCTGTTCTGAGAGGGGTCTGTCATCAAGGCGGGCTGACACAGCAGCTATAGCTGCACTCAATTGCACGCTGTAGAGAGGGCAGAACGTGGTCTATCGTTTCATCGCTGCCGCAGGGCCCGTAACCATGCACGAGCACTCTTCCACGCCGATTCGGAAGACAAAAGGTTGGGTGAACAGCTATATATATATATATATATATATATATATATATATATATATATATATATATATATATATATATATATATATATATATATATATATATATATATATATATATATATATATATATATATAGCACACATTTTCTTATTTTCTGTTTTTTTTTGCACGTTTACTTAGTTTTTTTGTCCACTTTCCTTCTCTAATTTTTTCGCCCCTCCCCTCAGTGACGAGCAGTAAAGTGGCGGCTTCCCTGCATTTCACTATTTTATTCTCTTTACGCGTAATTCTGCATAATCCTGCTTAATGATTCTTTAACCCGTTACATTTGTTACCACCCGTGTTCGCGCCAGAAGATGCAAAACAATGGTAGAACGGCTTACAGATATATTAGTGAAATTACACAAGTAGCGATATATAAGTGTCTGCGAGCGTTGTTGGACCAACAGTCAGGCATTTTATTGCGTATAGAGTGTACACACCGCTTTATTTAAGTAGCTCAGTTCAGCTCGAAAAGCACAGATCCTTATAATAATGCGAAGGAAAGCGTAAAATTTTTAAAAGCTCGTTTTTCATGGTTACAGACAATAATAATTGAGACAATAATATAATTGAGAACTAACAGAAAACTGACTATAGCTAATACAACTGAAATCTGAACTAAATAATTATTTTAATAATGAGAGCAACAAAAACACGCTTACGAGAACGTTGAGAGCACCACGTAGTAACATTCTAATATTAGTGCTACTGAGTTTCAAGGGAGACAAAAGCGCAACCGAATCACACATAAACCGAACATCGATTACAGTATATATCTATCTCTCGCAAGTGTTGGAGTCTATAGTATCCACGTTGCAAAAATGTTGTATATATTGTCGCCTGCAGTGTCCACGTATTCTCGAAAAGACAACGGTAGAGGGAGCTTCATTTCAACGGCAGCGCGGCTGAGTCTGCAGCACGATACCCATACCGCCAGCGTTCCTGTTGTGTTGGCTCCGACTCTTTTGCTGGCGCTCGTAACCATAGCGCCGGCGAACACCCACGGGCCATTGGGTCGGCACTCTGGTTCACTGTGCAGTTGCATGCAGTGCTGCCCGGCGGCACGGATTGTACTTTCGCAGCCAAATGTGGTTCTGCTTTGGTCGTTGTTTGCATGCCGAGTGCGAGAATAAAAAAAAAATCCTTCCCGAAGCCCCCATGGGAGTGTCGCCGCGCTGATTGGATCAGCGTTGCCGCAGCAAAGCATGTGACGTCACTCTGGGTGCCAAGCGTGGCCACATCTGGAGGCGCACTGTCGGAGCGCCCATTCCGGTAATCCCGCAGGCTCGTAAAAAGGGGAATTAGGTGTTGGCCACGCGACTCACCGTTGGCATACAGCAGCTGCAGCCGGTAGTGGATGCCGTTGTTCGTCTTTTGGCCGTCCGATTCCTGCAGACAACAACCGTTCTATAACTATACAAACTCTGTTGCCAAACCAATACAACTTATCACCGAGGCACTGCGATATGTTCTACTTCACCACCATATTGGTACAGTCATAGTGCGGGATCAGGGCAGGCGAGGAAACACCTACGACGAAAGACGGTGACCAAACGGTTTCCTGGTTGTATCGCACTTTCTTTCCTCATTTCATCAGCCTTGCTCAAAGTGGCGGAAGAGTGCAGTATACTTTTCCAAGTCGAAACACTAAAGCAAATCAATTCGCAGGTTGAAAGAAAGCGTAAGGCATCGCAAACAGATTCATTTAACCGCGGTCGGCCACTCGCCGGGTGATTGCTCTTTCAACGGGGGCTCTTCTCACTGGGTGCGCAAGCAGCATCGGTTCGCAATTAGGCGCGCCCTGAGGTTCCGCTTTTCTTTCGCGGGCCCTCTCCCCTCTTTTGGCTGGCTGCCTCCCCGATTGCTCTCGCCTCATTAGCTGCTTTCTTGCAAAGACTTAAAAGGTCGGCGTGAAACCAAACCCCGCGTATATTAAGCGCGGACGGCTGCGCAATTTTCTTCCCGCCCTATACGCCACGAGTTATTCTTTGCTCAAGGCTCTCTTCGGTACGTGTGTGTAATTGAATATGGCATGTCCGCCCAATGAGCTGATGACTTGATCGTCGTTAAACAACATGGTGGGTGAACTCGGCTGACCCTTGGGTGCGTATTCTGTGTGGCAGACACGGGGTAGAGATTCTTGCAAGCCATCATTTAAGTATTTGAAAAAAGGCATGCCAACGAGGAGAAAGAAATGTCCATGTAATAGCCAGCTCGCGAGTCTATTCCTGACATGCTTGGTCGAGCAACGAGCAGTGCTCATCCTAGACATCATCGTAGCATGTCGCGAACGAGTAAGTGCTAATTCTTAAAACCAAAAGAAATATCAACTCCGAATCTTTTTGTAAGTTTTCTAACTGTAGAGTATTATTCTAAGAAATATTGCAGCCCTCCTTAGAACGCTGTTGTCGCCCCGCCGCGGTGGTCTAGTGGCTAAGATACTCGGCTGCTGACCCGCAGGGCGCGGGTTCGAATCCCAGCTGCGGCGGCTGCATTTCCGATGGAGGCGGAAATGTTGTAGGCCCGTGTGCTCAGATTTGGGTGCACGTTAAAGAACCCCAGGTGGTCTAAATTTCCGGAGCCCTCCACTACGGCGTCTCTCATAATCATATAGTGGTTTTGGGACGTTAAACACCACATATCAATCAATCAAACGCTGTTGTCGACATGTTTTTTTCTTCTTGTTTCTTTGTATAGCCACATCTCCTTTCAGCTCGATAGCACACAGTTGATGAGCTGGAGAGGCCAGTCTATAGGTCGATTAAAATGACGTGCGGCCAGCTTCTGCTCGGAACTTGACACAGAAATCAAGACCTATGATATGTGGGGTTTAACGTCCCAAAACCACCATATCATTATTAGAGGCACCATAGTGGAGGGCTCCGGAAATTCAGACCACTTGTTCTTTAACGTGCGCCGAAATCTGAGCACACAGGCCTACAACACTTTCGCCTCCATTAAAAATGCAGCCGCCGCCGCCGGGATTCGATCCCAATACCTGTGAGTTAACAGCCTAGTACCTTAGTGGAGGAAGTCAAGAACAAGGTACATATACGCTTTTGTTCATCAGAGCTAGGTCCTAGCCAGTTGGTGCAACGTCATTACGATTACGGTAACCACACGAAGACGACATACAGTTACGCATGAAATGCATAGACCGGTTGATCAGTTTTATCCGGCAAGTTACGTGGCTGACACTGCTCTAGCGTTACGAAGACGCTGGGCACGTGTGCACTTGTTCTTGGTGCAGTAATAGTAAGAAAGATAACTGTTCAGCACAGAGCTTCCACCGATTTCGTGCCTGTCGTGCAAAAAAGGTCCGTTTTTTTTGTTTTTTTTTTTACGCCAGAGTGTTTTATGCTGGGGTCCACCACGGCTCCTCTTACGTAGTTCTTTAACGGAAATAATGATGAAAAATATATACTAAGAAATTGCAAAGAAAAAAAATCCGAAGGCGAGCGTCTGTCACGCGGAATGAATCGAGCAACTCCTCGATTCTCAGCGCATGAGAAGCAAAGCCACAAGCGCCACGAAGTGTACGTTTTCTGTAGTGTTAGCGGCAAGCCATTCTATACACACCATACACCGTTCAGCAGTCCTCAGAGCTTCGAAACTTTAGCGCATTTTTTTTTTATCAATGGCGAGATGACGCTGCGGTGTCCTGCAAAGTAAAGCCCCTTAATATAGAGAAAGTAGCGACACTCTCCTCCATATCCTCTCCAGAGTGTCCGACCCTCCTCTCCCAAGTGTCCAGATGTAATCTATATCCTCTCCCGAACAGTCACCGTGCGGGCGCCGGCGCTATAACCCGGTTGGTGCCATTTTCCTATCAATAATGCTATTTTACGCTTATACCACGCACGATGCTCGTCGCGGCCCGAGAGGCGGGAGAGGAGGATGCGCGGCACGGCGGCTCGGTTAAAAGAATGGCGGTACTTTACTAAAAATACCCAGGGACTTTACTGCAAAGGGCGACGATCCATTTCGCTAGATAGCATATACTTGTGGAGTCTTGCACCTACAACATTTTACATGGAAAAATGAGATAGATAAGAGAGATAAGTAAGATAGATAAGTATAGATTGGTTAATGCAATTTATTTCGTTATCTTTTACTCGAGTAAGTCAATATATAAATAGAGAAACAAAGGTCATGAAAAGCAACCGATAGCTCAGCTAGTCGGTAGGTATTCGTGGTAAACGACATAACGCTAAAACGCGGACATAAGAGCGAATTCCAGTAATCTCTCACGTAGGCCATCCGACGCAACTGAATGATAGGCATCGCCTCCTCTCTGAAAATGCGCAGATAAGTATTTTAATGTTCGGAGCATTTTAGGGACCCGAGCATGCTGTGATAGTATGATGTCGTACCTTCGCGAAACACAGGGACTACCACGTTATATATCATGGCTATCTGTAGCATGTGAGCGATCGCTCGTGCCAAGGAGAAGTCCTCTTCCTTTTGTTCTTCGTGTGCTTAGACGATGACTACGAGAGGCGCCCTGTCGCCGCGTGGCGTAACCGAGGCAGAACCTCAAAGAAAAATACAAAGAGAAAAAAGTATATCAATGCAGAAAGAAAGAAAAAAGAGAAGGAATAAATAAAAGCCAGGAATGAACAAATGCAAAATAAAGAGGAAGACAGAAAGAAAAGCGAAGAAAAATAAGGAAGGATGCCCAGCTCCGTATACTTCCTACAGGTTTGGCACCGCTATAGTGCACCGCTACTTTATTAGTATTTTTGTCTACCTTCTTTTTCGCCGCTGTATGATGGTTCGATTAGCGGCATTAGCGGTGTCTTTACTACTCCCCTGTGCCTGTGTTTGCGCACCCTGTCTTTTTAAGGACCCCAGAACAGCCTAATAGAACACAAAATCGAGCGTGTTATTCTATTCTGGAATATCGTTTTTTTTTTGTTTACTTCTTCATGCCAGAGTGGTTATAGACATGAACACGGTTTTAGGTGTGGACACTCCACCCGACGGGGCGTCCCGATAATGTTCGCCTCTTTCCTCCTCACGGCACCCATGTTGCAGCGTCCCCATGGAACTGCGGCCAGTGCATATGTAGTGTCCGCAATGGCGTTGCACAACTGAGAACTCAGCGTTGGAAGTATGAAGCTGTGTTTTTTTTGTTTTCCTTCATTAACACTGTGCTGCCAATCGCGGCGTTCACCGTACGTGGCATTTTTCGGTCGCGAGAAACGCGGCATGCGGTCCTAGCTCTGGTTGTTATAGCGTGCACGGTTTAAATAACAAGATGGGGTAAAAAAAAGAAAAAACGAGCGTTCGCCTCATCGCGTCCTAAGCCCCCATGTCGCAGGGCCTCCCCCCCCCCCCCTCAACGATACTGCGGTCGGCGCGTGTACTAAAGGCGAACAATAGGGAGTTTTAGAATAGCGCACCGCGAACCCTTGCGGTGTGGTAGCTGCCACTGCGCATGCGTCATAACGCGAGTCGGCGTTCGCGTTCGCGGACCGCAAGTAGAAAATCCGAAATTGCGTGCGCTAATGGCGGCCCGCATGTGGCACGCAAGCGCTTGTTTCGAGGCTACGGTGTCGCTGTGATCGTGCGTTGCAGATCGCAGCAGGGCAAACGCTATTCTAAGTCTCATATGGCGCCCGCAACGCCCGCAGTGCTTGCAAACGGTATTCTAAAACTCCCTATTATCTGGACGCGCCTCTCTGTTCAGGAGGACGGAAAGTGTCCACAGTTAAATTATTTTTCTTACAACATGACCTGATATAATTAGGGCACACACTCCCGATCTCTTTATATAGAGAAACTATCAGTTGCGAATTTTCTCCTATACGCTGCTTTGTGATTCGTTCACCCATTTTTTCTCACTTGGTGTATGATTATCTTGAATGATGAACTGGTTCCCTCCATTATGCAAGTTTTCCATTGCTAAAGCGGAAGTAATATAGTGCTGCCGACAAGCTCCAAATCCCGATAAGCTCAACGCTAAGCGCCAATATCCTACACCTGTTTTTGAAGAAATAAGTGTCGAGGGGATATATCACCTTTAAGAATTGCGGTGATAGTGGGAACAGAGAAGCCGATGCAGCTTTCCAGAAAAAAAAAAACCAGCCCGCTCTATGGATTTTTTAATATTTTTTGCGACAATAATAATTGCACACTGTGTACATTTTCCGTATAAAGACCAAATCGATAAGTTTTGTACGCGGGTCGTATTCTGTACCCACGAGTGAAAGCTATAGCGAGTGCTGTAGAAAAGAAACGCGGCTGAAGCATATATAGCCTAAACAAGCTGGAGCACATGCGATAACATCGTTCCTTCTGCGTGTAAGACTTTTCGTTGACTGCTACTCAACCAGGAAGGAAAGAAAACGCCTTGTCCGTCTTTCGCTGAATGAAAGAGTATGAAG